ATTGGGTTGTGAGAGCCTCAACACAATCAGTGAATTAGTCCCCTGATAGGGGTTAACTGAGTGGTAACTGAAGAGGTAAGGTAAGGCTGGGGGAGGTGGGAATTGGGGCATGGCTTTGGGTATATATTTGTATATATTTGACAAATGAAGATTTCTCTGTTTTCTGATCACCATGTGAGCTGTTTCTCTCTGCCACACTCTTCTGTCATCATGTCTGAGGAATGGAGCTATCCTTTTATGCACTGAGACTTCTGACTCTGTGCACCCCTCAATAAACCCTTCCTAAAATTGTTCTGGTCAGATCTTTCAGTCACAGCAGCGATAAAGCTGACTAAAACACTGCTGTTCCCGCCTCTCCTCTCTCTCTTACTTTGTTCCAGACCAGATCATACAGAATACAGTTTTGGGGGAGACTCCCAACATTTCTTCATCTTCAGGGCTAATGCCCAAAGGAATCAAGGGAAGGTAGTTTTTTTAATGGGATTCAGGATGTTGAGCTTGATAAAGTAAATGTGGTTGGTGCACTCCAAGTTTTAGTGATTTCTTATGTATTATGTATTATGCAAGAGATTAATTGGGAGAGTGAATATTTTCTTTGCAAAAGTGTTTCTCATGAGCTTTGGTCACGTATAAACAATGATTTGGTCACTGAACGTTTGGTCATGAACATGGCATTGGTACTCCAGTAGAAGAGGCCAGGAGGAGGCTGGCCACCCCTGAGGGTTTCTATCCAGACTGTCCAAAAGAGGGGGAGTGGTGGCTTCCTTTGTTTTCTCTTTGCCTCTCTGGTGGGAACAATGCCAGAAACTCTAAAACCCTCCATCTCTGCACTGCGTCACTTTCATCAATGTCTGATGTGCTACAGGCCAATTGCATATGTGTTTGTATATGGGAAGTGACAGGTGGAATAAAGGCCCTGACATGTGCATGTCCTGGTCCCCGAATCCTGGGAATTTTTGTGTTACCTTATCTGGCAAAATGGACTTTGCAGATGTGATTAAGTTAAAGGTAATGGGGGAAGGTTATCTTGGGTTACTTTTGTTGGTCCTAAATGTAATTACAAGTTAGGGAAGGCAGGAGTGTCCTGGTTAGAGAAAGATCTAAGGTGCTACCCTGCTGGCTTTGAAAATGGAGAAGGCCATAAAGCCCTGAATTGCAGACCAACTTTAGGAGGCAGGAAAGACAAGGACATGGGTTCTTTCCTTCAGCCTGCAGAATAAACACGGCTCTCCTTATTTTATCCAAGGGAGACATTATACCTATGTGATTGGAAGATAATAATCTGCGCCATTTGAGGTCGCTTGGTTTGTGGCAATTTGCTACAGGAGCAATAGAAAAAAAAATATTAACTTTTGAGTTCCTTGTAATTAATTAATTCATTATTTATCGGGCTTTTCCTGTGTGTGTGGGGGCACAGTGGTGAATAACCTAGGCCTGACCCCTTCATCCTCGAAGCTTGCAGTCTGGAGAAACAGCAGTGAGAACAAGTTGTTGTAGTCAGGTTTTTTTTTTTTTTTCCCCTGCTGGAACCAAAAGACCTGACAAGAACATTTTTAAGGAGAAAAAGTTAATTTGGTGCTCATAGTTTCAGAGGTCTCAGTCCATAGATGGCCTAATCCATTCCTCAGTTAGATTGGACAGAGTTTGAAATAGAAATTGATTATTCAGGCTGGTTTAGGATTTTTGGTAGAACAAGATTTGACCAGAAGTAGAACTCAGAGATCCCTGAATCTCCATCTTCCAGCCTTAGTCCTAGATAAGTTCCATGGACAGGACCCCATGGTCCTGGCTCCTTTGAAGACCCCATCTCTGTTTCCTAGTCTGGATGGTGCTAAGCTTCAAGAGCCTCCTGTGTTCCTTCACATTTAGACTTAGAGCACTGGCAAGTCAAGGTTGTACCAAGTACTGATCTTTTTTTTTTTTTTAATTAAAAAAACCAGATTTATTATAGAAAAGATGATATACAATAAGCTGTATTTATTTTAAGTATATGATGTGGTTTTGACATACATTTGTGCTCATAAAATTATCTTTTGCCCATATTTTAAATAGATTATTTTCTTATTGATTTTTGAAAGCTTTATATATTTTGGATATAAATCTTTTATTTGCTATATGTGGTGTGTCTTCATTCTCTTAATAGGGACTGTTTTTATGTTATTTTTAGAATATTTTTATGCTTAATTGTCGTATAATAATTGTGAATATTTATGGGGCACAGTGTGACATCTTAATACAGGTACAATGTGTGAAGAGCAGATGTGCCAGATCAAAGTATCCACCATCTCAAACGTTTTTCATTTCTTTATCCAAATGCTAATTTTTTGGTTTTGGGTAGGGGGATTGAACCTGGGGCGCTTAACCACTGAGCAACACCCCCACCCCTTTCTATATTTAGAGGCAGTGTCTCTCTGAGTTACGTAGGGCCTCTGTAAATTGCTGAGGCTGGTTTTGAACTCTCAATCTTCCTGCCTCAGCCTCCCAAGTCTCTGGGATTACAGGCATGTGTCACCGCACCTGGCTCCAAATGCTCATCTTGATCTGCTACTTTTACTTATTGTCCACACACAAGAGAAGGAAATCCTCTTAAGCCCCTTTAAAAGCCGACCACTTAATTCATTTTCATTCCTCCAGCTAAACATCTCCTTCTATGCCTCCTCAGCCCTGCACCCCAATTGTGTTTTGCTGGCCTGACTTTTTCTTTTTTAAAAAAAGCTCAGGGAGGAACCTTGGCCTCCCCCTGGCGGTCACGGTGTGTAAGTCCAGCTGTGCGAAGAGCCAGAGGGGAGGGCAAGAAGCAGGCGAGGTGTGTTGGATCCCAGTGGAGAGATGTCCCATGGAAGTGGGGCTTTACAGAACCTCACATGGAGGAAGAAAATGATCTGTGCCTGAGAAGAAAAGTTAGACCTGATTGAATCGAGGAGAGGGAATGTTTTCCAGGTCAGGTCCAGTGGTGTGAACAAAAGGAAAAGTGGGAGTCTGTAAGGTTCAGGGTTCAGATCCTAAACAAGTTTCAACTGATTTGCAAAAGCAATTTTAGTTGCCTAATTTGAGCCTTCCTTAAAATATAACTGATATTTATAGGACCGAGCTGTAGCTGAAGTTCATAGATGGAGCAAGAGTGGTAAAACCAAGAAATCTGGGAATCTAGGGACATGGGTATGCTCCTGATCCTTTTTAATTGGAAGCCCCTCAGGAGACACAGCTGTCTCCGCTCAGCCCT